AACAGGGGAAAACCCGGGATATTTATGGGGAAGGAGAGGGGCGGGGGGAAGCCCGAGATACCTGTATTGGGGTGGGACAGCAGGGGAGAACACCAATGAAACACAACAGTTTAACATATCTAACTCAAAGACCCCTGGGAGCGACACATTGTGTCTCTCACAGAGAAGTGTCTCCTCTCCAGGGGAGAGCCAGGATCTCGGGCCCAGTGGGCTCCTCCGTACCCACAAGTTTTCACCAAGTGTTCCTCAAAGAACAGTTCAATATGAGAAATCCTCCTACCCTACACTTATGCACATGATCAACCCTGCCAATCCACTGCAGACTGCAAACAGCCATAGACAGGATTCTAAACAGTTAATGTGAAATAGCTTGCTTCTCTGATCTCCACGTGAATTCCTGTCGTTGCATTGCATGTAAACAACTGAGAAACTTATTGACATGCCTTTCAGTCAAAAATTCATATCGCTTTTCAGTCTGAGCAGATTAATTGCAGTTTGTAACAATGTAAAGCGATTCAATTTGATTAGAGTTTCTATTGTTCTTCCAGATAAAATATTTTATGTGAATGTAAAGCCAGGTTTTCTGCTGGCACAACTTTATTGACTTCTGTGGAAATATAAAATACTCATCTAAAATTCTATGTACTAAATGATGGTATATCATTGTTGGTGAGCTGTTACAGTAAATAAATTTTATAAGCTTCTGTAAATTATATGTGCCTGATCAGATTCTAAGCCCCATGGAAATGTCATTGTCAATGAAGCAAGCCTGTGGGAATATTTGGCTCTGGAGGACAAAATTCTGAATTAATATTTTAGGTTTTTATAATTCTGAGGGGTTTTTCTACTTCAATTTTTTCAGTGTCCCTGTCTTCTTCATGTCTTGCTCTTAAAATCTGCTTGTAATTGTCTTTAGGTTCATTCCTATGTACTCTAGGGCCATTTCTCTACTCTTGCTACAGACATTGCTCTTGTGTTCTGTAGTAATCCCATAGACCCAAGCCCAGAAGCCCTGCAACACAAGTTCTGCTTGTTGCCAATAGGGACAATATGAGGAACTTCCACAAAACCTGAGTTTCATCACTCACTGAACAATATGTACCTCAACCCTTTAAGAAGCCTTTTTTTTTTCTTTTAATCTCCAGTTCCTCTCCTCTCTTTTTAAAAAACATTAAAAAAAAGATATTTAAGTGGATAATGAATGCATGCTTTGCTTTGTTTTGTTGGTTTATTTTTGTTGTTGTTGTTGTTTTTTATTGTTGTTGTTTGGTTTGTTTTGTTTTTAATAATACCAGTTTTCTTTAGTTCAGTTTTCTTTCTATACTTTTCCAGATTGCAGAATAACATGTTTGGGTGTTATCATTGCTCAGAGAGGTCAGAAGTTGTTTGTGGTGTTTTGAATCCCATGGAACTGCACTGGGAGGAGTATTGAAATTTTTTCACAAACTTGTGGGCTTGCCAATGCAATTTCACTCTGTCCGTGCTGCTGGACTAAAAACAAAAGTTGCAAATATTCTGCAGAAACTGACAATGTCTGATTGTTTGGCCTCCTATTGAGTGATCAATATTCCAACAGAATTTCCCTTCTACAGAACTAGCACATTCTATAGAGCAGGAGACGGTTTTAGTCTAATATTAGCAATATTACATTTAACTGTTACAGTACTGCCTGACACAGGGAACCAAAGCAAAAACACTATATGGAAAAGTACAAGCTGCTGCACTTTGAGCTGAAGTTGTGTGTATTGGAAATAGGAAGCATGCAGTTCATATCACCAGGGGGATATGTTGCAGACAGATCATATTAAAGCAGACTGCAGAATTGAAGAGGTTTAAGTCAGCAGTTTAAAATCCTGAAAACATGTTAAAAAATGAGGAAAAAACCCCCTACATTATCGAAATACTGAGTCATTACTTTCATATGTGTAGAAACCCTTTCTACATAGATTCCTCATTCCTGTCCATTTCTCTAAGACTATTTTTTTATATATCCACTCAGAGTGCATAGAAGCTTTTAGTTTTGATGGGGGGGGGGGGGTGGTTTGAAACACACTATTTTCACCCTGAACGCAATAGCATGATTAGGAGGACAATTACTGCAAATTCTTTCATTTTTCAGTTTCAAGATCTCTTAGAGGCAGCAGGAACTGCTTCTGTTACCCATGTGTTTTGTCACTTGAGGGTTGGGACTTTTTAATTTTGTTTATCTAGCCTATCTGCTTGTAAGCCATCACTTCTTAAGAAGCATAGTTTCAGTCTCAGATTTGGGTGACCTAATTACTTTGATGATTATGGAGGAATGGTACAATATGCTCCTTCTATAACAATGTTTACCTTTTCTTAAGTCAGAGGCTGTTGGAACTAAAAAAAAAAGCATCTGTCAGAATCAGATTTTCATAAAGCAATAATAATAATAATAATAATAATAATAATAATAATAAATAACCACTCATAAAATTTCAGTGTTATTTGAAAGTTACTGATAATTTGTGCAACTGGCTGAACACCATCCTTTTATAACCGTGGTAGGCAGATCATGACACTTCTGGAATAAATAGGCTCTATATTGAATTTTTTTAACTGAGCTTCCTCAAAGCCATATGGGTTAAAAGGTCATGAGGTGACTGCATGGGAAAAACAAGATATATCACAGAAAATGACAGAAATAAAAACTAAGAGG